AACTTATAAAATAATAATTAATAAAATAACACGAACAGATTCTATGTAGAAAAAAAAAATAAATTTACATACACAAAATTAAATAAAATTATATACAAGTTAATTATTGATTCACTCTATATAATATATATATATATAGTATGTATATAAAACCTACGTGATATATATGTATGTATATATAGGTACTTAAATAATGCATCAGATCTTTCTTTGATTATAAATTGCCAGTTGCAGAGCTCGATGGAATGATAGTGCTTTTTTAAGACCCATCTTGATTAACGGATTTCAATGGTAACACGCGATCTTTAAATTCTACGATTGTACATGATCATCGTACATTTTCTTTCTCCAATTTTCATCAACTTGAACAGAGATTTAACACATAATATTTACCTACAACCCATTCATTTTCAATGAAACATAAATCCTTGAGCATTATTTTCCTCCATTATGTTTTCGTACTTAACATTTAAATTAACTTATGTTCATTTATTTAACATTTGTATATTTTATAAACAAATCACAACGTTTATTAATAATTTTGTTGATAATCTCACAAAAAATAACGAATGTTCCTAATTGTGCGTTCCCTTTTTCTTCAATATTGTATTATAAGAATAATTTATTATTTATTAGAAATACATTTATTATTTTTTTAATGAGTATCCTACAAATAATATGAAATTATTAATTATTTCATTAATTAATAATAAAATACTTTTATTTGTAAATCACTTTCCATGTGACTTACTACTAATTAGGATTAAAATATTGTCAACGTTTCTAAAGCTTAATGAACATTCCAATAAAAATGACAACGTAATTACTTATAAACCTTTAGTTAAAATTAGAATGTAAGTATCTATATCGTGAAATGAAATGATCGAGTCGATAACGACTGTTAAAATTAGTCATTTTCCGTAAAAGGAAACAAGTAATGATTCCAGTTTACGAAAGGAGCAGCGTGCAGCAATAAACAGCAGTTCTACCAATCGTTAAACAACGATGAAACATCATTGCTCTTGCAATTCTCATTATTATTATTATTCACGATACAGTGTCTCTCTTTAAACACGAGTAATAATTTTCCAATATAAATTGGTCACGTTGTTAATCGTGAAAATATTTTAATGGCAATACTTTAACTCGAATAAACGATGTTACATATATTTTCTTTAATCTGATAATCATTTTGAACGTGTCGTTTTAAATACGCTCATTAAGAAATACTATCCAAAATAAAAAGAGAGAAAGTTTAACAAAAAATAAATAAATAAATAAAAGTAATCACCGTAAAAAGCTAACCGAGTTTATCGCCGATATTTGTTCTCGTTCTGAAACAACGCTACTGTGAAATGGTTTGCATGAATTATTTACGATCGAATAACTGGCATGCGAAAATTTTTCTATATGTGGATACCTACACAGGTGTATATATATAAATATAAACGTGTGGTTCGTAATGTGAGAACATGCGGGTTCAAAGAGAGACATCAACAATGTTAAACTTTAGCGAATACACACACACACCTGTGTCTTTGACACGTTTCTATCTTCGTTATTTTTGTCTACTTTTTAAAAAGTAAACCACATCTTTCTTATTTTTTAATTTGAAAAATACAAAAATGTTTTATGTATATATATATATTTTTTTTCATATCTCTTTTTTCTGAATTCTTGAATTCGTTGATGAATATTTAATTTTGCTCAAAGGAGTAAAGAAATTTTACATATTTTTTTTGTTACCAACCTATCGAGTG